AAAAATTGATTCTCTTTTCCCCTCCTCTCTTCCTTGAATCTTTAACTCCATGATTTTCAGCACCTTCAGCCACCCTCAGATGACATCATCTGCTCTGATCCCAAACTCTGATAGTCCTCTCTCTGACGAGCCACATCCCTTGTGCCCTGTACAGCTGCTGTCATCCCACACGTCAGCTCTCAGTCCCTGGGCTCTTCCTTTTCCACTGATGTCTTCTGGTTTCTTTTGCTTCCCTACCCAACCCACCCCAAGAGTCTGTCATTTCAATCATGCCTTGAGCCTAGATTCTTTTGCTCCTGAGTTTCTACCACTCCCACCGTCTTACCTTTCAGTGAGAAATGCCCCAGGATATAGACTGTTTCTCATGGGGTTGGTCTCATCACAGAGCTATGCTGGGTAACCTCCCCTGAGACCTCAAACTCATTCATGTCTCCTTTCTTGTTTCGTGCACCGGAGACCATGTATCTCAGCACGTATGCTGCAGTCTTCTCCTGCCTCTTTTCCAAACTCTTGCCATTGGTAGAGAGGGCTGTACCTGAGGAAAGACCACAAGGACAAGGGTCAGAAGGGGAAGAGGTCATAAGATTAGGAGAGGCTGCCCCTGCTGGGCTAGAGGTGGCTTTGCCGGAGTAGGCTGCAAGGGGGCCCAGGGAGAAGAGGGGACTCCCAGGAGAGCCAGATCCCCAGGAGTCCGCTCCAGGCTTTAGCGCTGAAAATCCTGGGCAGCCATGTGCTCCTCAGTAGTCAATCATCTTTTCTTCCTTTGTCCCTGGGGAATATCCCCTTGGGTGCAAACCCAAATAAAGCAAGTACTGGGTTGACCAAAAAATACATTTAGTTTTTTCTATAACTAAAAGACACATTTTTCATCTTTACCAATAACTTTATTGATTTGGATATTTTGAGTATGTCAGCTCTCTCCCACGTGGTATAACGTTGGTTGTTCTCAATTATATGTCTCAATTGAATCACTGTCAACTTCAACTGGTCTACCCAACCGTGGAGCACTGGAGCATTGTCCAGGGAGAAATCTCCAGCACGAATCTTTGCAAACCACTTTTTTTTTTTAATTTTTAAAAAAATTTTATTTATTTATCTTTAGAGGGGAAGGGAAGGAGAGAGGGAGAGAAACATCAATGTAGGGTTGCCTTTTGTGCATCCCCTGCTGGGAACTGGCCTGCAGGGAACCGGCCTGCAACCCAGGCATGTGCCCTGACTGGGAATTGAACCACGATAGTCTGGTTCACAGGCCCGCGCTCAATCCACTGAGCTACACCAGCCAGGGCTTGCAAACCACTTTTGACCTGTTCAATCAGCCACAGCACCTTCTCCATACACTGCACAAATCTTTTTTTGTGTTTCAGTTGCATTTTTACCTTTCTTGAAATAATATGCCAAAATATTGCATATTTTCTTCCATCTTCAATATTAAAATGGCTACACAAAAAAATTCACCAATTTTGATAAGTTGTTCTCTTTTAATTCACACTGTTCTGAATGAAGTTAAAGACGATTCAGTGCTACTAGAGCCATCTTATGGAAGAAACAAACAAACTTTTTGGCCAGCCCAATATATAAACGTGCCAAAGCCTTTTTGACACTCCCAGCCAGGCCTGAGCCCTCAGGACCCCACCCCCACTCAACACTGAACAGGCCTCCCCAGGGCCACCAAATGGGGTAGGAGCACCTCCAGAGAAATTCTCATCAAAAAAGTCCTGACAGGTTCAGCCCAGGTCCTGCCCCCAACCCACATCATCCCACCTGCCTCCACAGCTCAGCTAACCCTGCGGCGGGTCCCCCAGCCTCACCCTGTACCCTCTTTTCAGTACTTGTTTGAATCAAAATCATTCCCAGTAGCCCTTGGGGTCCTCCTGGGAGGCCCACTGGCCTGAGCTGGGCCCTCCACTGCCGGGCGGCTCGGGGGAAGCCTCTGGCCATCTTGTCATCTTGCTTCTAGCCCTGCCCAGTATAGGGACCTCTCACTCTCTCACACACACCTTTGGAGAAGGGGGTGGGAATCAGCCCCTACCTGTTTGGGCTCTAAACCCCTTTTTACCCCTTATCTCAATCGCTGTTCTAAACTATTCTCCTCAGGGTTGAGCAAGAAATATCCAGTCTAAATGATAAAGCAAAGCCTGAAGAACTCCAGGCCTCAGGACCCTACCTAGCTCCCTAATCTCCCACCACCCGGTTTCTGGGGGAATGCTGGCTCCCTCCCTCTAGGGGAGAATATGGGGTGGGGGGAATGAGTTGACCCACCCTTATCAGGATCATCTCTGAGTTTACTCAGTAGTTAAACCTGCTTCTCAGGTTCCCCACTGTCCCTCCATAAGACACTGGAATGCGGGGCTGGATGGGAGGGGGGTGAACCACTTCCCGCCTCCAGGTCTCTCCTTTGCTGGGTCTCTTTACTCCAAGTGCCTTTTGACTTTGTTCCGGGAAACCTCTGGCCAAGCCCCTCCTCCTCCACCTTCTCCCAGGACCAGCCTCCCAGCCACCCTTCCCTCTTTCAGCTTGCCTCACATCCCTCACTCAGAGAGCCCCAGTGTTGGGGATCCCGGGACGGAAACTCCTCCCTAATGCCCCCATCCCCAGCTCTCCCAGAGGCGCTGAGTAAAAAGGCCCTGAGCTACAGAGGAGTCTGGAAATGATAGAAAAGGGCAGGCTGGTGCTGGAACCTGAGGTTGGTATTTGCCCTATGCTGCAAGAGGTCAGGAATGTGGCCCCTGACATCAGCTGCCGGAGATAAGACCCGCTTGGCAGCATTCCTCCCCCTGCCCCTGGACTGAGCCTCCACAGACCCCCAGAGGTGCTGAGCAGTTGGGGTGGGTGAGGGGTCAGAGGAGGATCTGGAAAAGACCTTGGGTAAGAATCCTGGAATTTGGGCCTGATCCCCAGTGGAATTCCAAGTCCTTTGGGGTCTTAAGTGAGGTAGAGAGAGCCCTTGCTTACATCAGTGAGCCATCTTTACAACTAAATTGATCTGCCCTCCTGGATGTGTTGGAAACTTACTCTACAATGACTGATTAGTATTTGTTTAATAAATGGGTGAGTGATAACATTTACATCCACTGCTACCCAAGGAGGTAGACTGAACAGGCTTTATTATTTCCCCCTTTACAAGCGAAGAAACTGAGTTCAGAGTTAAGTGATTTCCCCCAAGGTCACACAGATGGCAAAGTACCAGAATTGACTTCAAACTTAGCAAAAACAGGGAAGCGAAAAAATCCATCGCAAGTTTAGTCTCCACACTTTATGGTGCACGTCTGCATAGCATGGCAGTGCTGAAGCCCAGGGGGACTGTGAAGGTGACAGCAGGAGGAACCCCCCTGACTGTCTAGCACCTCTAATCTCCCAGAAAACTTCCATGTAAAACGACTGAGCATTCATTTGTATGCTATTTTGCATCCCATTTGCCTTTTGGCTTTCCGCAGGCCCTGACCCTCCCCTGGCCAGCCCGCACCCTCTCCTGTCCCTGGCCACCTGCTATTGAGTACTATGGTGCTTTCCCCACTCCGAGGTGGCAGTCCTGGGACAATCCAGGGCCAAACTCCCACATCTGAGATGGCCTTCCTTCCTGGCCAGTCCGCTGACCAGCTGGCCCACTGGCCTGGCTACTCCCGGGCCCGTTTCCCTTCCCAGGCCCACTGTCCTGCCTGTTGCCACCTCTTTGGTTCAGCTGCAGCTCACTGAAAATCAATGTGTGTCCTCCAGAGCAAAAAGCTCAGACAAGTATGTAATGCCAGGCCCTGCCAGGCAAACACCAGCTGCCGGTGGTAACAGACTTGAAGACCTAGTCCCTGGGGACTCCCCCAGTTCATTCAGGGGGAGATGACCATCCAGCTTCAGGGGTACAGGGAGCAGTGAGAATTTCCCAACCTCCATCCTTTTCACCCATATCCCCACCTAAGCTTTCTAAGGAGTCAGGCCCCTGGGGATGGGCTTGGGATCCAGAGAGCCTTTTGAGGAGAGGCAAAGGAAAGAGGGGCCCTGCAGAAGAGTCCTAGTAAGGGGGCCTGGCCCCCGGGCCTGAGACTCGGCTAGACTGTTTCAGCCAGGTGTGCATGTTTGTCCTCGGGCCCCATTCCTTGCGAGGCACATTACAATCTCCATGAGGGGTTTTGTTCTCTATTACCACTGCTCTTCTCTCGGCAACTAGAACAGGGCCTGACGCACAGTAGGTGCTCAAAACCTGTTTGTGGAACTGTCAGTGCTCAGACACTATTTGTTTACCCAGAGATGTAGTCAAGGCTGATTCACAGGTGGACCAAAGTGCGGGCCTGCCCTATCTCCTGTTCCAATCACGAAGCATTCCGAGGAAGTCAGGCCTTCCGAGGAAGTCAGGCCTCCCTTGGGGGTGTGTGGGGGTGGGAGGCAGAGTACAGAGTGGGTTAGGGAGTGAACGTGTCTTCAGGAGTCTGCATATATTTGGTGAGTGACACGCACATGTGTGATACAGGCGGGAGTGTGTGCTAGGAACGTGTGCATGTTTGGGACCCAAGTGTGTGGGAGTCAGATGTGTAAACCGGCAGATTTTAGGCTCAAGACTGAGTCTCTCCTCCTCTTCTCCAGCCCCCACCTTTTCTTCCTCAAGAACCCTGGTGCTTCTGGATTCCCCCCCCCCCCAAGATCCCCTCAATGTCAAAACTTGGGCTGCAGACTGAGAACAAGCTATAGAGGCTCACACCCCACTCCACTCTCCCATTCCCCAAAACTCCCAAATCCTCAACTGGCCAGCACCTCCTCTACCTGGGGAGGGGTATAATAACGTCATTTCCTGGCCTCGAAATCACAGCAGCCAGGGCCACACCACTCTAACAGCACTTTCTGCCCTTGTCCTTCTAGGTTAGTCACCCCCTTTCTAGGGGGTCGAGGGTGGCCTTGGCAGGGCTGTGCTGAGAGGGAGGGGGCAGGGTCTGAAACCCAGGCCGCTGTGCCGCCCGCGGCAGTCCACCTGTGGCCTGAGCGCTGCGACACCGGGGGAAGGGGCGGGGCCTGCCCGACGGGTCCCCAGCTCCTCCCTCCGCCCTAAAAACTTAAGTCGCGGACCTAGCGCTCACTGCAGCTTCAACCTGAGTCTCGGCTGCTCACCTTCCTCCCTGAACAACATGAGCTTCAGCACACGCTCCAGCTTCTCCACAAGCTACCGGACCCTGGGCTCCGTGCAGTCGCCCAGCTACCGGGTCCGGCCGACCAGCAGCGCGGCCAGCGTCTATGCAGGTGCCGGGGGCTCGGGCTCCCGGATCTCCGTGTCCCGCTCCACCAGCTTGCGGAGCAGCTGGGGATCCGGGGGCCTGGCTGCAGGGATGGCCGGGGGTCTGGTGGGCATAGGGGGTATCCAGAGCGAGAAGGAGACTATGCAATGCCTGAATGACCGTCTGGCCTCCTACCTGGAGAGGGTGAGAAGCCTGGAGGCTGATAATCGGAGACTGGAGATCAAAATCCGGGAACACTTAGAGAAGAAGGGACCCCAGATCAGAGACTGGGGGCATTATTTCAAGACCATCGAGGACCTGAGGGCTCAGGTAAGGGGCCGTGGAGGGAACAGCCCAACTCTCAGCCCCGTTTGCCCTCCACGCAGTACCTCTTCCTCCCTGTCTCCCAAGGATAAGAATTTTAATAGGGTGGGGCACAGAGACTCCCTTCCCAACAGTCTGACTCCACCGCACAATCTATCTATTGTTCAGGGAGGGCGTTAGGAGTGCCCTGGGTTTCCACATTTACCCCTAGCCAATGGGACCCCCAAGGGTGGTGACAGTATGAGCTGGTCCTTTCCCTGGAGGGGAAGGGAAGGCCAGTGCTTGGGAAATGAACAGCATCAAGGGAGGTGAGACAAGGCCCAAAAAGAGGACCCAGACACAGGTTTCTGGCGAAGCGGGGACAGGTAGAGGGTTAAGCGGATGTGGTTAAGGCTGAGTCATACTAAGAGTACACTGGAAGCCTACCTGGGGGGTGGAGGGTGTGGAGGTGAGCAGGTGCCCTGGGGAAAAAAATGCCAGAAGGCCAGGGAGAGGACTTGTATAGTAGTAGTTGCTCACTTCCAGTAGGCCAGCCTTTGGAGGCCCCAAAGGAGACCCAGTGGGAGACTGGTGGGAGCCCAGGTATTTGAGACTTCAGGAAAGGAGGGAACAGTGTGAGGGGCACAGGTGGAAGCTGATAGCCTCTGGCTATTCCTGGGACAGGGATGTTTTCGCTGAGACATGCCTTTCACACACTGAGCGCAACCCATCATTGACTTCTTATTCATGGAGCAATCTTTCTCACCAATCCTCAGATCTTTACAAATTCTGTGGACAATGCCCGCATCGTTCTGCAGATTGACAATGCCCGTCTTGCTGCTGAGGACTTCAGAGTCAAGTAAGGTGGGGGGACTAGGGAACTAGGGGTGGAGTTAAGAAGGTCTGCTTCCTGAGCTAGGTCAGCTAGGGCCTCAGAGTGGGATCTTGTTCATCTGTGGGTGGAGCTAGGTGGATGAGACGCTCCATCAATTCATTCATTCACATAACCCAGTTTAAGAATACTTAGAGCCAAGTACGGCCCTCAGAGGAGTACCATCTGATTCCTGACTCAGTTTCTGTTGGCAGTGGGCACAGTGCTGCTCTTAGGTGCCATGAGTTGAAGAAGGTTCTAGATCCAATCACCTCCACTTCCACAGGTATGAGACGGAGCTGGCCATGCGCCAGTCTGTGGAGAATGACATCAACGGGCTCCGAAAGGTCATTGATGACACCAATATCACTCGGCTGCAGCTGGAGACAGAGATCGAGGCTCTCAAGGAGGAGCTGCTCTTCATGAAGAAGAACCACGAGGAGGCAAGCGGGGGCCACCGGCCAGGCCAGGAACCAGGGGCCAAGACAAGTCTGGGGGAATAACAGAGCAGGCTACCTGCAAGTAGTCTTGCAGGAAAGTTTAAACTCCCAGCCTGGGCTCTTAATCAGACTGTTGCCATCCTCATTAGGTAACCTAATTTACAACGTGATGAAGTCAAGAGGCCATGGGTGAGAGAATAGATGAGGAAGGAGGTAGAAGCAGCCAGCAACAGGAGTGAGGGGTGATGGAGGAGTGAGCGCAGGTGGAGCTGGCAGGGCTTCTTGGAAGAAGGTGGAAAGAGCAGGTTTGTGGAAGGAGGGTAGGTGGAGAGACAGGGTGAAGTGAGGAGAGAAAAATCACATGTGAGTGACAGGCACAGGCAGTAAGTGGGTTGCATTCTACCCATACAGAGAAGAAAGCCAAAGTGCGAAGCTAAGAGCTTTGTGTTCTCTTCTCCAACTAATCCTGTAGGTCTGGAAGAGCCAGTCACAGATGAAGAACCTTACTAGAACTCAGCCTTGAGCCCCTCCTTACTCTCCCCACCCTTCTCTCCTTTAGGAAGTAATTGGTCTACAAAACCAGATTGCCAATTCTGGGTTGACCGTGGAGGTGGATGCCCCCAAATCTCAAGACCTCAGCAAAATCATGGCAGACATCCGGGCCCAGTATGACGAGCTGGCTCGGAAGAACCGAGAGGAGCTGGACAAGTACTGGTCCCATCAGGTACAAGAGGGAAAGAGATGGATACTTGCTGGGCACAGAGGCACAAGGGGGAGGGAGGGAGACAGAGAAGGAGGGACCTGAGCATCATATCTCCTGCAGATTGAAGAGAGCACCACAGTGGTCACCTCGCAGACCGCTGAGATAGGCGCTGCTGAGGCCACACTCACAGAGCTGAGACGTACGGTCCAGTCGTTGGAGATCGACCTGGACTCCATGAGGAATCTGGTAAGGGCCCTCACTTCAGCTGCCCCAACTCCTCCCAGCCCCTTGACCTCTGTCTGCCTCAGACCCATCCTGTCTTAGCCCAAATCCTACCTCTTCCTTCATGAATTCCTTTTGTGCAGATAGAGTTGTTACTCTGCATTTCCTGCTGCTCCTACCTCCCTACCCTAGAAGCTGGCACAGAGTAGTCGTTCAAAGAGTGATGTCCTGAGTTCTGAACCACTCTGCAGAAAGTTGTTGACTCTCTCTCCACTGCACCTCAAGGTTCACCCTACCCTTTTCCCTGTGCCCCCTGCAGAAGGTCAGTTTGGAGAACAGCCTGAGGGAGGTGGAGACGCACTATGCCATGCAGATGGAACAGCTCAATGGGATCCTGCTGCACCTGGAGTCAGAGCTGGCCCAGACCCTGGCAGAGGGGCAGCGCCAGGCCCAGGAGTATGAGGCCCTGCTGAACATCAAGGTCAAGCTGGAGACCGAGATTGCCACCTACCGCAGCCTACTGGAAGAAGGGGAAGACTTCAAGTAAGTGGGGCTGTCCTTCCATCCACACAAGCTAGGGTCAAGATATCACTTCTCCCCAAATCCTGAGCTTTTGAAAGCCACGCTGAGCACCGTGCTCCTGAGTGCCCCTTTGTCTCCAAGCAAGTAGCCATTACAGAGTTTCCCTCCTGGTGAAGAGGATGGACTAAGTATTATTGCTCCCAGCTGTATTTAGTGTACACCTAGAATTTGGCCTTGGGTTTCCCTTTTATGGAGGGAGTGGCCTAGGGGAACTTGGAGATAAAAGGGCTCAGGGATAAGAGGTTTTTTTCCTCCACTTTCCTCATCTCCCTTCTCTGTGGGACTGTTTATAACTGAGGTTTGGTCTCCTGTTACAGTCTCGTCGATGCCCTGGACCGGAGCCCCTCCTTACAAACCATCCAAAAGACCACGACCCGCAGGATTGTGGATGGCAGAGTGGTGTCTGAGGTCAACGACACCAAAGTTCTGAGGCATTAAAGGCAGCAGAAGTGGGGCATCTCATGGCAGGGCAGGAGGCCAATAAAAAGTTCATTGAAAGATCACTTTGTGTCTTCCTTGGCTATTTTCATACTGTGCAAATCCCCTTTTTCAATAGTCTTCTCTCTGATGCGGCAGAACCACCTCTGACCCCAGGGGTTTTATATAGGTAGGGGAGTGGGCAAAGGAAGGGTCTGGGTTCTTGGAAACACCTTCTCAGAGAAAGAGGGGGGAATGGGTCGAGGGTAGCAGGGGGAACTACAATAGAATTGTATAATCTTAGCTTTGAAGAGACTCGGTAATCACAAGTCCTCTGCCTGTCAGGTGCTCTTTAGCAGGAACCAGCCTGAGGAGGAAGTAGAGCCAAGGACAAAGCAAAGGGAAGAGAAAAGCCCGGCCAGAGTATACAACTGGCTCTCCCCGGCCTTGCTGCTCTACATTCTTGACCCCCTGCCCAGTGCTTCCTACCCACAGCTTCTTCCCCTGCCCCCCTTTTTCTTTTTTAATCCCCACCAGGGAAACACTTATTAATTTTAAAGAGAAAAGAAGGAAAGGAGAGAGAAAGATGGGAGAGGGAAACATCAATTCCATGTGTGCCCCAACTGAGGGCAAGATTTGCAGCTGAGGCATTGGCCCTGACCAGGGATCAAGCCTGAGACTTTTCGGTTTATGGTGCAGGATGTGATCCAACCAACTGAGCCACACTGACCAGGGCTACCCCTGGCCCTCTTACATTCCGCCCCCAAACCTATGGTCCTGTATGCTCTGCTTCACTCAGTTGGGGTAAGACTTTTAGCGCACTAGAGGTCTGGCTGGGACTGGAGTAAATGAGATCATTGCAGGTGAAAGAATATTCCAGTGGTTCCCTTCTAGGCAGGTGGTTCCCCTAAGTCAGTGCCCACTTAGGTAACAAAAAGCACCTTAAAGCTAACCGAAATATCACAACTGCATTCCATCGGAAGGGTCATCTAGTAGCGACAAATGGACGCCTAAGCCTAATCATGTGCTTTGATTGGGATGATAATTCATCTTTTAAAATTAAACTATATCAAAGTGACCTGGCTGGCATGGCTCCGTGGATTGAGTGCTGGCCTGTGAACCAAAATATCACGGGTTTGATTCCCAGTCAGGGCACATGCCTGGTTTGTAGGGCAGGGCCCCAGTTGGGGGCATATTTATTGATGTATCTCTCCCTCTCTTTCTCCCTCCCTTCCCCTCTCTCTAAAAATAAATAAAACATTTATATATATATATATATATATATATATATATATATATGTATGTGTATATATGTGTGTGTATATATATATATAAAAATATATATAATTAATGTACAAAATCCAAAAGGAGAGAAGGAAACAAGATTAAATACTTCCCACTCCCCAGAGGTAACATTGTAAAATAGTTTCTTAAACCAGACATGTACACATTTTCCTTTATGTTTGTAGGATCATACTATTCTGCATCTTGATTTCTCAAACTCTGCTTTCTTCATTTCACAATACATCTTGGACACCTTTCCAAGACAGTACATGTAGACCTACCTTTTTTTTCAAACCCAAATGAATAAATTTGGAGTCTCTTCTACCTTCTTTTGGAATCTATATACATCTATTCCATTTACCAAAAAGAAAAAAATTAAAGGTTTTATTTATTTATTTTTAGACAGAGGGACAGAGAAAGAGAAAGGGAAAATAGCATCACTGTGTGGTTGCCTCTTGAGCTCCCTGTACGGGGGCCTGGCCTGACTGGGAATCGAACCAGTGACCCTTTGATTCACAGGCTGGCACTCAGTCCACTGAGCTACACTAGCCGGGGCCGAAAGGAAATTATTAGTTCCACACTGGGGGGAAAGCACAGAATTGTGATTATGCATTCTGTCCCCTCTCCTGTTTTGGTGACATTTTTTATGACTTTTTCCCTACCCATTGTCCAGTTGAATGTTTCTGTCACACAAATCTACTCTCAATCTGTAATAAAGAATAATTACTATGTTCCAAATTCTTTCCAAAAATCAAATCCTTGATCTATTAATGTCCAATTATGGTCACCAGACCAATCTGACAAGTGATGTCTAGGTCTTTTTTGACCCTTGCCTTAGCAATTTGTCATCCATCTAGTCTGAGAGACAGCATACAAAATGTGACATCATTTTACATAAAACTTTTAAAATAATTTTTAAAAAAAGATTTTGTTTATTTTTATTTTGGAGAAAGGGAGGGAGAAAGAGAGGGAGAGAAACATCAACGTGTGGCTCTCTCTCACATGTCCCCAACTAGGGACCTGGCCCACAACCCGGGCCAATTCCCCTTGACTGGGAATCGAACCGGCAACCCTTTGGTTCACAGGCTAGCACTCAATGCACTGAGCCAGAGCTATATAAAACTTCTTATTGCATCTGTATAGGAATAATGTTGGGGTCATTATTTTAGAAGGACCTTAATAATTTTCTCTCAGGTCTCAGCAACCGAAATTCGGTGAGGAAGTGTTATTATACTTAATCCCGGTACCTTGTCCACCTCATTTTCCTCTTCAATTGCTGCCTTGCACCAGTGTGTGGAGTGCAAATGTCCCCAACTCAGGGCTTCTAGTGATGGATGCCTTGGTCTTCGGTAGTTTTAGTTTGTGTAAAAATGCTACAATTAAGGTTAATTAATATGCAATTAATACTTGTGATTAATAATTATGCTGTGTCAGCACGCCTACAAGATAAGTTCCTAGAAATGGTATGCTGGCCTCCGTATTAACCATTTTTTTTGTTTTGTTTTGTTTTGTTTAATTGAAACTTTTTTAAAAGATTTTTTTAAATTTATTTTTAGAGGGGAAGGGAAGGAGAAAGAAAGGGAGAGAAGTATCAATGTGCAGTTGACTCTCATGTGTCCCCTACTAGGGACCTGGTCTGCCATCCAGGCATGCACCCTGACTGGGAATTGAACCAGCGACCCTTCGGTTTGCAGGCCCGCATTCAATCCACTGAGCCACACCAGCCAGGGCCATATGAACAAATATTTATGAAGTACCTATTTTGTGCCAGGCCCTGTGCTAGTCAAGTGTGCATGTGGTAACCAAAGTGGGTATTGCCCCTACCTCATGGAGCTCAGAGTCTAATGCAAAAGTATGTGCATTTTGTCTTTCAACACATACTTACTGAGGACCTAGTATGTACCAACCACTCTTATAGGCACTAGGGATACACCAGTGAACAGAGCAGACAGAATCTCTCTCCGCATGAAGCCTATATTCTGGTGGTAAGAGACAAAAATCAATAATAAGACTAATGTAGCCTGCTGGCAGGTGATGAGCGTTATAGCCCCGGACAGAGCAGGCAAAGAGGGTTGTAGTAGGGGAGGCAGGAAAGGAAAAGTGGGTGCAGGATGATCCAGGGTAATGAATCTTTGACTGAAATGGAAAACTCAGTTTTTACTATGAAATGCAGTGTGGCGCTGGCCAGTGTGGCTCAGTTGGTTGGACACTGACCTGTAGGCCAAGAGGTGGCTGGAGGGTTCGATTCCCAGCAGGGCACATGCCTGGGCTATGGGTTCGGTTCCTGGTCCGGGCGCATACAAGAGGCAACCGAACAGTGTTTCTCTCTCACACTGATGTTTGTCTCCTTCTTTCTCTTTCCCTTCCCTTCTCTTTATAATCAATGGGCATGTCCTTGGGTGAGGATTAAAAAATGTATATGTATATGTTAAAAAAAATACAATGTGTTTACTTTACAATCTTGAACAATATGAGGATCCTTGGTGGAGAAAATCTAAAGACTGAGGCCCCGAGAACAACACCGGGACCGGCAGAACCTGTGGGTGGTGGAGCAGCTCCCGGAGGAACTGGGTGGGAATCTTTATCACTGTAGGGCCCTGAGAGGAGAAGGGCCAGGAGGGCCTGCAAAGCGAACAGAGCAAGAGCTGCCCTTCCTGAGTGAGGTCTGAGCAGGAGTTACATGAGAGGTTATCTGGGAGCTGCTGTGGGCAGGCACCCCTGTGGCCTCCGGGTACCTGGATTGTACTACCTGGGGGAAAACATTCTACCTGAAAGCAAGGTGCCCTGGTGAAATGTCTCTCCTTTTTCTGAAAACATAACATTCATCTGCCTCACTTGCTTCTGTTCTTTCTCCACCCCGACCCCCAATCTTTATAAGAATCTACAGGAGATGAGTCTTTGGAAGGATGATTGAGCTTTACTTTCTGAGATTTGTTTTAGGAACGCATTCAGAGTAGTTTTCCTGACTTGTCCGCCCCTCTGTTTTCCAAATGTGTAAGTATAATGTGGAATGTGTTGGCTTCGACGCACAGGTGCCCCAGAGGTCTGGCGAGCACCCCCAAAGGGTTGCACCGGTGTGGCAAGCTGTCACTGTAATTTAGTCAAGAGGAATCCAGCCTTCCCTGGGGCCCTAAAAAGGAGAAACTGATGATGGCTCAGCCGCCAGACGTGGGACAGGGAGCAGACAGGCCGGTGAACAGACCTCAGCAAAGGTGACGGCATGGGGACCTGCCTAAGGTTAAAGCAGAAAGTCCCTGGCAGAGTCTGAGCGGGGCTTGCAGCTGAGTCAGGCTAATTGGAGTAACCTGAGACGGCCTGCAAACACCTGACATAACTATCCCTCCATCAGACAATGTCCCACAGTTCCCAGGGCGCTTATGTATTTGATCCTCATTACAATCCTGTGAGGTATGCGGGGCGGTGGGTGCTGCTATTGGTTCTGGCTCAGAGGTAGGCACTGAGATTCAAAGAAATCTTGTGACTTGTCTGAAGCCACTGAGCTAGAAGCTTAAAGCAGGAAACCACATCCCCACACTCCCAGTCCGAAGCTCTGTCCCCCATGTATTATAACTTAACTAAGGTTCTCAGCCCTGGCTGCAATTCAAGTCAGCAGAGGAGTTTTACAAACAACACCAAGGCCCATGTCCCATCTCCAAAGATTCTGGTTCAATTGTTTTGGGCAGGGAGCCCAGGCGCCCAGGGAATCTTAAAAGGGCTGCTACGTGGTATCAATAGGCAGGCAAGGTTGAGAGTTGGACCCAACCTGTACCTCCTGATGTGGCTGGCCTTGGTCATGCCTGTT